GAGTGGGATAGTATCACATTTATAGCAGCGACGTTTCGGGAAACCAAGTGGCTCCTTCTTCAGGCAAACATTTCACGGAGACTTGTAAAGTAACTGACAGGCCCACTTTTAAGTTGTCCGATATTTTCCAGAGTGGAGGTAGGTAGCTCCTCCGAGACAGGCCTCGGTGTCCGTAGTGAAAATGTCATTGTAACTGTGCCATCGTGTGTGACCGGCTGTGCAGACAAGTCCAAAAGGACCAAATACTTCCCTCATCCTACGTTGGGTTCCTGCGCCTGCAGGCTGATCACCGCTCCAGGAACCAGAGCGTATCTTCCATCCGGCGTCTGCTTTCTCTAATGCGCAGCACAGTAAACGCAAGGGTACAGATGTGGGCAGCGCGATGCCGGCTTCCTGAGATGCTTTATAATTATCGGGGGCGGGGCTGCGTTTGCCGACATCTAATTAAAGCGCCATTTTCCTCGACGGATCTAATCAGCCTGCACAGAATCCTGCGTCCTGCAGCCTCTTCTGTCCATTACAAGAAGCAGATCTGACTGGAAGTCGCAGAAGCTCGAGACCTCGATTGACGGATTCATCCTCATTGTTTCCTCGTTCTGGTTTCTTGTTTTTCTCTTTCATGGCCATAGACAGTAAAAAAAAAAAAAAAATTCATGGGCTTTCTGTTCCTGTGTCAGGAAAGTGGCTCTCGGCTGAGTGCGGGAAGACCCGAGAGTCCGATTAATAGAAACTCGGAACAGCCGAGAGATTCATGGCCCACTCTGCTGGAGCCCGAGCCTTCTCTGTGCCGCGGGACTCGACTCTTCCTGGATCAACGCAGATTAACAGGAGGCACTCACCCGCGTGTTTACAAGGAAATATGAGCAAATACTGGAACCATACCATGGTGGGCATGCTTAATACTTCATCCATTCTCTTCTAACTGCTCAAAGAGGAAACTATCATCTCTTTACGATACATACACTGTATTGCCAAAAGTATTGGGACGCCTTCACACGCACATGAACTCTAATGGCTTCCCAGTCTTAGTCCGTAGGGTCCAGTATTGGGTTGGCTCCGCCCTCTAATGGCATCCCAGTCTTAGTCCGTAGGGTCCAGTATTGGGTTGGCTCCGCCCTCTAATGGCATCCCAGTCTCAGTCCGTAGGGTCCAGTATTGGGTTGGCTCCGCCCTCTAATGGCATCCCAGTCTCAGTCCGTAGGGTCCAGTATTGGGTGTGATGTGCGGCTTGGATGCGGCTGCTCGGCCATGGAAACCCATTCCATGAAGCTCTCTACGCGCTGTTGTTGCGCCAATCTGAAGGCCGCATGGAGTTTGGAGGTCTGTAGCTATTGTCTCTGCAGACATCTAAGTGACTCCTCTCTCTGTCCCCTGTATGGATATTTGGGAAAAGCTTGCTGAATGCTGAAGGCGTCAGCCAGCCTTAGTTTGGAACTTACAAAATGAATATGAGCTTTGTAAATCAGTAACTCGGTGTCATAAAAAATGACCTTCTGTTTCCATGTGCAGACAGATGACAAAAAATCTGCAGAATCCGTCTGCCAGATATCTCGAATGTTGCTTCCTTATCACCATTCCAGCAAGGATATGTGCAGAACTACCCTAAAAATGAGACCGGCTTACTGCTCCTATTACGTCACTGCTGATAATAGCAGGCAGACCCTCCCACCTAAGAACCGGGAAGTAGGAAGTGACCGGAATGGATTGATCAGTGTCTACAGAACAGGATCAGGAGGAAGTCTGCAATACTCCTTGCAGTGCAAAAATGTGACCTGGAGAGGTTTTTACCGCATCCATCGGAGAGATTTCCTTTCACTTCCTGTCCTAGAAACACAGCCGGAAAGAAAAAGGAAATCCCTTCCCAGGGAGTTGTCACTGAAGCAAGTGTAGCTTTACTTTGGGGTTGATTTATGAAAGTTCTGCCCCGCATGCAACCGGATGGATTCCATTTGCATGGTGTATAGGAATTCCCTATACTAGTCAGCACAGGGGCGTAACTAGAAATCACAGGGCCCCATAACAAAATGTTGTAAGGGGCCCTGTGATTTCTAGTTACACCCCTTGCAGATCCCACACAGCCCACCTGAGAGTGACTCTGCAGAGCCCACCATAGACTCTCTATGGTGGGCTCTGCAGGGATCTCAGGTGGGTTGGTCACACCTCTGCCCACCTCTTACCTGTCAGCCGCGATCTGCTGTCAGCCGTCTCCACCGCTGAGCCCCGCCTCCTCCTCCTCCTCTGCTGCCGCCGTTTACAGCATGTAACCAGGCAGATGCAGTGGCAGTAGTAAGAGTTTTCGACAAGACCAAGCGCAGTAGCTCAGTCTGGTTTAGCCCTCCAACTGGCAGTCACCGGATGTGACGGCACCAGTCGGAGAACTCGACAAGTCGGACCCTTCGATAGGACACCGGGCCGCGGCCGCCTCCACCACAGCGGCTGTGAGGAGGAACGCGCACAGGTTGTCGGCGATCTGGACAGCGGCGCGTTCCTCCTCACAGCCACTAGCGACTGACGCAGTTTTCGACTTACCTGTATCAATCACGTGGGGGGGTCCTCACACTCGCAGCATGTCGGTAATTGGCACTTTTGTCAGTGACTTGTGTCTTATAACTTCCCCGCGTGAAAATAGTGAGGGGTGTCCCGAGGCTGGGTGACACCCGGAGCAGTGTCCGAGTGTCACCCAGCCGAGACGTCATCGCGCGGCAGTATTCTGATACCTGCCGGCGGGCCATCTTGGTGATGGACGCCGGCAGAGAGAGGAGGAGACAGCCACCCGGCGGGATAAGGTATGCCGCCGGGTCCCCTCCTCTCTCCTGATACTGTCGGACACTTTTGTTCCATGACTGTAAGTCATTTTGGTGTCACCCTTCCAATGGTGTCACCCGGGTGCACCCCCCCCGCTTGACGCCACTGCCTCTTGCACATGTTTAATGGCATTCTTACATCAAAATGGCAGCACTGGAGTGCTTCCTGTTATAGACAGGAAAACTAGCTATTGCACTCGCCCTCTGCTGCTGCCAAGGGGGACCTGAAGTTCTCCATCAGGTCCTCTTCTAGTGATTGACAGCAGCAGAGGGCGGGTGCAATAGCTAATTTGCTATTGGCTATTGCAAAGTGAAATAGCCAATAAGAATCTAGCTATGCATTCCTATGGTGTTTTTTTTATTCTTGAGCGGTTCTCAAGCTGGGGGGTCGCTGTGTGATTTCTGCTGTGCTAGGTGAGAGTCCTCCTCAGGCCTCTCCTAGCGCAGCAGTGTCAGTTCTCCCGCAACCACGCCGCCAGATGTCGCTGCAGCAGCCGCGTCATCCCTAAATTTTACCATTGGGGGGTCACCGCAACTTGGCAAATGTTACCAAAGGGGTCCCGGCCCTAGAAAGGTTGAGAACCACTGCTCTAGGGGCGCTAGTTCTGTGAGAAAGGCATCCATCTGGCTATACACCAAGGTGGAACTTTTAAAAATAAACCCCCCTTAAGTGATTTCAGGGGAACGACGGGGCATCGAGACAAAGGTTTCTACCCAATATTATGTGGGACGGTCTGGGGCTGCCCCAATGACATTAGATTATCTCCTGATCCCATTGGAAACAGCCAAAGTAGAAAGCTTCCATCTAATGTCTAAGGATATCTTAAAGGAGAACTACGAGGTCAGGGCTTTTCCCTCATAGTTCTCCTCAGGGTAACCGGAGGACACAAACTAGCGTCCTCGCGTCACCCTAAGCTCATTATATAGGGAGCTACAGCTCGCGGTATACTGAGACGCCGCAGCCGGAGCGGATCCCGACAATTGTGCCGGGATCCGCCCAGCTGCGTGACTGACAGCTGGCTCCGCCTATCCAGAGGCAGAGCCAGCTGTACCCGCCCCCTCCCCCGTCCGTTCCGCCAGTCAGCGCTGGCGGAGCGGGGAGGGGGAAATCCAGCCCCTCCCCCGCCACGGGAGAGAGCCGTGACAGGG